CCTTTCTGGAGCTGGGTGGAATCGGTAATAATAGATTTCTTATCTTTTGTAGAAGATGCATTTTGGTCATTAATAGTAACTAGAGTCTGTATCTGTTCCAATTTCGTGACTCTATCTTTCAGCTCGGTATTCTCAGCAGTAAGTTTGGTAGTATCTGTTTGGTGTTTCTTTTCTAGCTCTTCAAATCGGATCTTGAGCACCGCATTTTCTTCTATAGTCTGCTTTAATTTTATATTCTCAGCCTCAATTTCAGCACATTTCTTTTTAAGTTCAGGTATTTCTGCATTCTCCTTCCTAAGTTTATCAATCTCGGCTACAAGCTTATAATTCAATTCTCTCAACAAATCGTCTTTAGATTGTGTGTTTGCCATTTTTTATATAAAATACAGATATATTCAATTCTTTTATCATGGAGATATATATTTTCATCGAAACATAATCAGAGATACATGCTACGTAAACACAAAATAAATAAATCCAAAATACATGACTGCGTAAAAAAATTCTCGATCATATACGAGTTAATATACATCGATAACAATACAATAAAACAAATTCACGAAATACACATGCAAAATAAACGCGATTATATATGCAAATCGGCCACCAGGGCCAGCTTTATTGATATAAGAGAAGCAATGGACTAAACAAATTAGGGGAGGATTTGTTCATCTATAATGTCCTGAAATTTACCAGTGGCATCTCGAAATCGGGAACTCATACGAACATTCTTAAATTCTTTATCGTGCCAAAAATGCACAACATTTAATCCTCTTCCTTGTAGCTCATCAGAAGGCCAATATGGATCCAACACAACAGAATCCTCTCGAGAAAAATGCACAACCCAAACTTCCTGAGGGCAAAGTTGGTTGGCATACTTAAAAATTTGTTCGAAATGTTTCTTTAACTTCGGAATAGATCCTGTTGCTATAAGTTCTAGTAATGCTACAGGGTTGGGGTCAGCGCTCCTCTTTATTGTCAGATCAGAATAAAGATCGTGCCAGTCTCCATCTTCACAGACCTGTTTGAGATGCCACTGGCCCGTAATCTCAAAGTCATGATCCTTTGCCAACCAATTCATTAAAATTCGATACATTTCTGCATCGTAAATACTCTCTTTTGGGACTTTTTCATTACACTTAGTTTCAACTCGCAAATAATTCGAACTTTTATAAGATCGAGTCGAGCCAAGTGTAATTGCATTCTGATCAAAAGTACATACGGCCAACTTTAACATCTTGAGAATATCTAAAGATTCATCTGCTCGCAAAGGTACGTTTACTTCAGGAAAAAAGAAATGTGCACTTGTGATTGTGCATTGCCTCTTCTTTGGCGGAGATTCCACTATATCTTCAGCCTTTCGTTTTTTTCCCGACACAACCAACGGTGGTGATGATGATGATGACGATGGTAGTATCTTTTTAGGCTTGATAATTTTATCCCATAAGCCACTTGCTTCATTAGTATCAGCCTATGAAAAACAAAATTGGATGAGAAATATTTCACAGTAAGCACAATCAGACAAAAATAAGATTAGATGGCGGATGCAGGAATATCCCAACAGTTAAATTTTTGTTGACATAAAGGAAGGTACATAAGATTCCTCTTCTAGAACTAGTAAACCTTTATCAAAAACTTGTATTGGCAGATTCCATGATGTTTACTAAGGCGAACTTAATAAACGCATCCAATTCAGTACTTGTAAGAGTTAGTATACTCCACCCCCATTAAGACGAACTTAATAAGTACAAGCACCTGGCTGTGCCCCATCTGTCTAAATTTGATATTCTTCTACACTTACTTTTTTATTTTTTAAGATATTCTGAGCAATATTACGAATTTCTTCAGATATAGAATTATTATTGCTAATAGCATGTAAGGTATTATAAAAAGCATGATATGATTTCATCTTCTCAGCATGCTCATAGTCATTTATGATTATAGAAACGTAATGCTGGAGAGACCACCTTTCACATGGAAAAAATTCGAAGTACTTGATATATGGGATATTTTCAGAGTTTTCTCGAATGTAACAAATAGAAGTATCGGACATATTTTGTGTTAGAAACTATATGCAAAAATTGTAAAGCAATTATGTTTAAAAATCACTTATCCTGCAGTCTTTATGAAATCAAAATTAATCGGAAGAGACGCGTTAAGTCATCATCAATTAAAAAATCGCGTTCTCCAGTGTAACCACCAGCAAAATTTTATATTCATGTGACTTTTTGACTAACATTGAATTTTGTCAGTTATTACTTTTCTATATTTGGCAATACAAGTATCAACGTTAGAGTTTTAAGAACGAGCGAAATTACTAACGCTAAGCAATAAATAATCTTAACTGCCTTTTTAAATGGTTTTCGTTATTTTTATGTCGCACCACTAAGGGATTTTTATTCTGTCATACACACGCATTTAGGCCAGATAAGGTTTGTCCCGAAGTTGGTAAAATCAGAAAATGTGGCATGAACTAATTGGTTAGAGTACTAGTTTGTACTTTGTGCTCTCACAAATTAGTTATGCATGATAAGCCCACTCCCTTGATCTATCGATCTGCGGGAGATATAAGAAAAAATATAATGAGACCTAGTTAACATATTCTGATGGATTTTCTTTTTTCTATGAGAAAAAAATGGTGATACAGATAAATTTTACATGCGGAATTATTCTAACATATGTTAATGAGTATTTTTGTTACGTGGGCAAATTATAGAAAATTATGTATACGTAGCGACCAAATCATTAATTCTGATTTATTTTTATTTAACGTTAATTATTCGAGAATTATCGCATTCACATCGCCTATATATTCCATCCGCCACTTTTTTACAGGTCTTACAATATAGGTGTGAATGATGATCGCATTCGTCACAAACCTTACACCCGTGCTTCCAGCCTCTAAAGATATGCCACTTTTCGATATAATTTCGGCTTTTTTTATTTGGATATGTATTGTTATGATTTTTTATCATTGTTGTATTAATAGAAAAATAATTATACGTGGCTAAAAAAAATTTTATCATTCAAACCTGCAATGTGTTTGTGCCCTGTCTTACGCATAATCCTTAGGTCGATATCCGATTGAATGCCT